AACAAGTGTGGCTCCGGGAGGCCAAGCCCCTAAAGAATGCAGATGAATACCGATTCGTCACAAAAGTTTGCCCGGGAGCAGTAGTGGTGGTTTAAACTTCAAACCTCAAAGCAAGACAAGAAAATACAGAGGCATGTCAAACTATACAAGCAACTACAATGTTCAGGGACCCTGGACCCGATTTCCAGCAGGTGCTGCTCCCCACCAATAGATGGAGACTCCCCAGGCAATGCTTGCGGTGTCTGTTCAAATCAGCACCCCTAGCATCAGCATCGGCAGTTTTCACAAAAGAAGAAGAAGAAGAAGAAGAAGAAGAAGACGAAGAAGAAGAAGAAAAGAAAATAATGGAAAACCGCAAATAAACGCAAATTTCAGGGTAAGTCGGCCTTTGGAGGGGCAAATTGCAAATAAACGAAAATTTCAGGGGCATTTCGAAAATTTTCCCTTAAACCTCAAAGCAAGACAAGAAAATAATGGGAAAAAGCCAGTCTGACCTGCAGGGATGCTCACAGGAACGAATCTGGGCTGCAGAAGTAATCAGAGGAGCAGTGGTATGGGGGTACTATGGGTCATTTAGTGTTGCCGAAATGAGGCGCTTTGGGAAGGATGTCTGACGTCACCAAAACAAATCCTGGCCTATGTGCAGGATAACCTGAGGCATGCAATACAGACGGACTTCAACAGGGAATGCCAGTGACTGCGACCAGAAACACCACTCAGAGGCTCAGCCCGGGTGGGAATGCCAGGCCTGGTAGGCCTTAGGGTCTGATCCCACCTCTATTATTTTTGGGAAGAAACGAAAAAGAACGGTTTTGTAGGGCCCGTTCCGCCCGGACCGTAAAAGAAAAATGGGATGCCACAAGGCCACGAAATTTGGTTCTTTTACTGTAGGTGCGCCGAAAATTCATGGGCGGTGAGGAACACCTACTTCCCGAAGTCGGTCCACCCAGACATTTGGTCGGGTGTTGTGCAGCCTGCCGTCGCACAACGTTTGGACCAACCGGACATTCCAAGTGTCTCTTGCGGACATCTACCAAAAAAAAGAAAAAAGGAAAACCCCGCCTTCTTTTTCGGGGAAAAGACAGGGTCGTCTTCTTTTGCGTTTGAAAAGAACTTTCTTGCCTGCAAACGCGCCCAGCTTGACACGTCCCCTTTCGTTTCCACATCCACGAAAAAAAGAGGGCCCCCTCCGCCTCACGCGGAAAGAGGTGGGATCCCAAAAAATCCCGAAAAGTGCCTTCCGTACTAGAGGTGGGATCAGACCCTTAATCTTGACTCCAGGCGGCTCATGTTTGGGGCCTTTCTTATGCCTCAAAGTTAGGGTGGTTAACACTAGCGTAGGACAGGGGGGGTGGGGGTGCGCCAGGGCAAAAATGATAAGAGGAAGGGTGGCAGGGGTCTTCAGAGGGATTCAGCTGGACAACCAAGTGGCCGAGTACTGTGGGTAACTGTCATTGGTCTAGTGTCCCACCTCTACAACAACCTGGGCTTTAAAAAAATATATATGTCAATGCTAATGTACATTAGTAGTAGGGTCAGTTAGGACGCAGTAAAAAAGGCTAGACTAAGGGGGGAGGGAGGAGGGGGGTGGAGGAGAGGGGGGAGGGGAAAGAATAGTGTGCATCATAGTTGCGGAGCACGACGGTGCGCCGGTTTGCGCACGAGTTGCGCACGTAGCACCGCGCACCGCGGCGCCCCGAACAGCAAAAAATAGGGGTATGGGAAAAAAAAAAAAATTGTTTTCGTTCGGAAGGCGGGCCCCCACCCCGGCAAAAATGACGGCCGGGGCGTGCGAGTCGGGAAACAGACCGCACCCTGCCTCCGGAATTTTTTTGGGCGGAAGGGCCTGCATAATTCGAAATTTCGAATTCGGCTGGCCCTTCCCCCAAAAGAATTTTTGGAGAAGGGGGACGGCAGTTAACCCGGAGTCGCATGCCCCCTCGCCATTCGAATCTTGACGTCGCGAAGGAGGGAGGGAGATACGCTACGAGGGACGACCAAGAAGTGGGCAACGAAGGCGGGGAGCAGCGGGGGGAGGGCGACGAAGGTGGGAGAAGCGGGAGACCGATGAAGGAGGGGGGGAGGGACAAGGCGAGACACCATCGGCGTACAGCAGCCGCTGGACATCGTCGGCTCGAAGCAGCGGAACTGCGATTTCGTCAAAACGGACATTTTATATTTTTTTAACGAAATTGAAATTGTCATTTTCATGGTGACTTTGGGTCGAAAATGCATTTGAAATTCGCGGTTCGGGGTACGGGTATACACGTAAGGGGTAAGGGGTAAGGGGTTTAGGGGTAACGGATAAGGGGTAAATGGAAAGGGGTAAATGGAAAGGGGTAAGGGGTAAGGGTCTCGAGCAATGTTTGCCACCATCTATACACTGTTTCAGTTACAAACAATTTCATGTTACCCACATCCGTCCGCATGTAATCACAATATCCAACAACAGGTACATACTACTCACGAGCCACTGTGTCCAAAGCCATTCGACGACGTATTGCGGGTATGTCATCAGCGGTGAAAGAAAAAGGCGGAAGGTGACCCCTTGCCAAGAGCGACGTGTATACGAGCATGAAGACCCCGCATGAGTTAGTGTCACGTTGTTTCGGCATGCCCTCTACATTTCATATGTGATTGAACGGTTACGTGTCCACCTCTTTGCCTTGCTCGATCGATCTTTCGAACAGAAACTTTGCAAAACTGCCGGTCACTTTTCTTGCCCAATTGTATACAGGAATAAATTTCGCCCACAAACCTAGATTTAAAACAAATGAGCAAACAAATGAAAATTCTAAATTTCTCGCGAAGAGGATTCCCCTCGAGTTCATTCCCTGTCTCACCCCTCATTTTTTACACGTGTGGAATCGATCACGCCCTTTCCGCCTTCTGCCCCATCCTCGTCCTCTGTGGTCATGTTCTCAAGATTGCGAGAACGTTGAGACCCCTCAGCATTCCCCTCATTCCCGCCATCCTCTGTGGCCTCTCCCTGTGGTGTTGTTGTACAAATGTGCATCACCTTTGCTAGTGCATGAGGGCGGATGCAACGACATTCCTGTGACGCCCATCCCAACAGCGGACTCCGACTTCATCTCTGATCTGCCTTCCATTGCCGCGCACCTGTCGCGAGGAGACTCCCGTATGTGGCGCCCACTTCCGACGGCTTGTCGAGTGACACATGTCCACCTTGTGATGTATCCCCCGTGGCAATTGAGATGGTTATGATGGACTTTTCGCCTGCAGACGTGTTCCCCACCTCTGGCAATGGAGCCTTCATGTCGGACGTGGTTCCGACATCTTCCCTTTGTTCACCCTTCGTGTTCCCTGTGGCCGCCTCGGACACAAGGGCGACACCTTCTCGGGAGTCCACCTCCATGCTCTCGCTCGTCCTCAAATCGGTGGTGCGGTGGACCTTCCAGTCGATTGATCCACGCAAAGGGCTCGTCTGCAGCGCGTAAAACTTGTGTCTGTACAGCAACTACTGAGTGGCTTGCAAGGCATTGAACAATTGTTTTGCCCTTGCTTTGATGGAGGTTTCGCTCCCCTATGAATCCCCCTCAGCGGCGGCCATCCGCGGCCAAGTCCGCGGTCGCGGCCTAGGCCGTGACTCCGCGGACGTGTTCGCGCGGCCGCGCGGCCTTTGCGGCCACATAGCGGTCAGTGGGGAGGGGGGGTTGGGATTCGAGAAGCGTCATGGGGCGGCGCATCCCCAGCCCCACCCCCTCATA